CCTATCGCTTTGTCTATAGTGTTCAATAATCAGCCCGCTGCACGGTATCTCGCAATAGACACGCCATTCCCGCCAGAGGTCATTCTTCACTGCGGATAAACTGAATACGATGGCGGTCCATAGGTCAGCTGTTTGCTGTTGACGTCAAAGTACGGGATTCTTTTGAAGTAGGTGTTGTATCCGGGAAAAAGGACGGGGCCGAGATCCGATCCGGGGAGAAGATCAGCATCAGCATCGCTTTCCGTCACGTGTTTGCCGTCCGACGCTTTGGCGTAACCCAGTCCTGCTTCTGACTTCGTGCAGGCCAGGGTGATCACCTCCCCGCCGCTCGGCCGATAATCTGAAAAAAATTAAAGGATTGATACACGGAGAAAAAAACCTTGTGCGTGGGACCTGAAGTTTAGGTCTTATAGATCTCTGAAGTTTTCGGGTTGAGCATCTGAACACTTTAGGTCTAGCTGTCGAGGATCGGATCACGCACATCTGAAACTTCAGTTCTTACACGCATCAGAGAGATGGGCAATGCAACTCAAAGAAAAATTGCAAGCTACTCCAGTTTTATTGCGATAAATTTGAATCAGAAGAGCCCCTTCAATCAGAAGATAAGCAACATACACATCACTCAGATGCCTTGGCAATAACTTAACCGTAATTGCAATCTGTGCTACTTGGGCACAGGCGTATATTTTAACGTTTTGACGTGAGATCTGGAGACTTTTTTGGCACTTAGAAAACCGAGTGATATGAGAGAGTGGGGTGGTGGAAATCACAGGATTGATATGGTGTCTTTTCGCGGAGTAAGTAATATTCCTATGGAGCTAAATTAACTCTTTTTACGAGATGAACTTCGCAATTTTAGAATCAATTTTACCATTGACGTACCAACTACTCGGGTTCTCTGAGGACGAAATAGGCTCACAGGAATAATAGCAGAGCCAGGATAGGGTGGGGTCACTGATGGGCTCAGCTCATACTTTTTTCTTGAACGTCGTGAAATTCTAGCACGACGACCGTGATAAAACATATTTTTGAGCGCCTAAGAAAATCAATCCCTTGCCATCAACATCTGTCAAGCCCATGAAATTAAGAGAAAGTCGTTTGCGTGCAGGGATCCCATTTTTTCCGCAGGGCAAATAACTCTGGTATAAGCAGTGTCCGCAATAGGGTGGTAGAGAAATATGCGGAAATTCGTTCTTGGCGTGCGTTTTATCGAGGGTTGCCTTTTTCCTGTGAAAATGTTGGTTTTGCTTCGGGAAATTGGAAGATTCAATTGGAAATTGACAATACTGCCCCTGCGCCGTGTCTCGTGGATTAGCATAAGATTTCAGTGTCAGACAAGGTTAGGGTCTCCCCAGCACACATACACACACACAAACAACGTCTTGTATGGAGACGTATGCCAGACTGATGTGAATTATCTCTATTCTAGAATATAGACCCTATAGAGTGTCCCAAGACTTGTGATTATGCTCAGTTTAGCAACTTGATGCATGAATACACAATCACGAGCGTCTTATATTCGAGACAATATCCAGTGTCCCCGTGCAAGTCTCTGGCTGTCCAAAATCTTCAGATAGACTCAAAAGCCTAACTCTCACTTAAAAAGAGATCGTATGGAGAAAAAAAAAAAAAAAGTATGATGGTGGTTAGCCGATTTGCAGAAGAAGGAAATGGGCTACAAAGATTGGATGGAATGAGTTAGGTTAAAAACTTCACTTGAAGATGTGCTTTCCATCGAAAACTGAGAACGATATAAAAGAAAAATATGACACGAATGAAGGAAGTATATCCAGTCAGTCCCATACTTTTACATAAAGTTTATTCCATTGGCAAAAAACAGCCCGCACATGTTGCAATGTTGCAATGGAAGACACGCAATTTTCGGAGAAACTAAGGAAGTTTAAGAAAACTAATGCCGGGAAACACGCAATTTTCGGGGAAATTGCGTGTGGGGAATTTTCGGTGATCTTCGCACCGAGAGTTTTTTTTCGATTTCTACACTGAGGACACACACACAGTTTCCCCGGAAATTGCGCATGATCTCTTCTTTGGAAAAAAAGGACAAAAATGTTTTTTTCATAGTTTCTGACAGGTTAAGGTAGTAATACTAACGGATAAACGATACTGATTACATACGCAGCTCCTAAAAAGCCGGCCCGGAGAGCGAGACATCACGAACACGTACATTTTTCCCGGGAAACCGCGTCCGTTGCCGTCTCTTGCTTTCGCAGTCGCCAAAATTACAAACAAGTACTCAGTGCAAATAAAGGCGCACACAATTTCCCCGAAAATTTCGAGTGTATCATCGCAATATTCAGAACACTTATCTGGAGAACATTTTAATTTTAGAATGGACCATGAGACTAACTACGAAGTTAAATATTCTATTACAAGTTAATTTCTTATCCAAAATTTCACGTAAACACGATTCGCGCAACCAAAATTACATCAACTAAGTCCTAACCAAGGTATTTAATGTTTCTTGACGCGTGAATCCAAATCTCCCGTTCGTGAAAACGCAATGGTCTACGTCAGTCAAATCGCGCACTAAGCATTACCACGACAATTTTCCGATATGAAAATCTGAAACCTCCAATCTTGACGGTTTGACTCAACTATGGCAAGTTGTTTATAGTTTGAACGATGAAGAGTGGGAAATGAACAATGTTTTGATTGAGAAGCCTGCCGAAACCGTTGTATTACGCGATTGGACTCACGTAGAGTATTCAGTTTCTTGTGACCGGGAAATTCAAATTATCCATGACTGATAATGAAAAATAAAAACGTTAAAATATTAATTAGGAGTTGATTTCAGTAATTTTCGATGCAAGAATCGTGCTCTACGTGATATTCTGAATAATGAGCATGTATCAGAATGCTTAAATTCGTACCTTGTTTAGTTGTCCATTGTGAGGAACGCGTACGACTCAAAAAAAATGAGAATACTCACGTGAGAATAACTGGAGGATGAAACAGACGAAGTAAACATAAACGAAACTCATTATTCAATAGTCAAAATAAGAGTGCAGCAACGGAAGGATAGTTCAAAAGCAATATTGAATAGAACTTATCCAATTCAGATTGAGCACCGTTGACTTGGAATATTGAGGAAACTTTTGCGTGAATACTTTACGAAAGTAATGCGAATAGACAGCTACCGAACCGAGAAAGTTTGACTTAGAAAGTGAAAATAACTTGGAATCGGGTTAACCGCCTGGCTGCTTAAAATTCAGGACTGATAAAACGGCGAATGCTAATTTAAAAGATAGCGAAAATGGGTGCTGACCACCGATAAAGAATTAAGTCTCTTATGCGTCGTAGAGTTGGTGCGGGATTTTGACACGCTAAGTATTGATGAGGATTTGTGACGGTGTGGAAATTGTCCCGCAAGCATTTAAAATTTCAAAATGTCTATCTCTTAGTAGCAGAAAGCTTTCAAGTGATTCGACGAGAGCCATTTTTTGTGTCAGAACGACGTGCGTCACACCGATTCGTTCCATTTTTTCAGCTAGTTGTCATTTTTTTTCAAATTTCGAGATCGCACTTCTGTTGTCATGGGATCACAGAATTCATGTTCCAACTTTGACAGTGAAATTCAACGTATAAAGGCAGGATTTTTTTAGAGGGAAAATATAGCATTCGAGTGCAGTTCCGATATCAGTATCAAATGCGATATTTTTCCTCTAAAAAAACCCTGCCTATATTACGTTGAATTTCTTTGTCAAATTTGGCACATGAATTCTTTAGTCTCATGACAATAGAAGTGCGATCTTGAAATTTGAAAAACATGACAACTAGCTGAAATTATGAAACGAATCGGTGTGACGCACTTCGTTCTGACACAAAAAATGGCGTTCGTCGAATCAGCTTAAACTTTATTTAAAGAATCAGTAAGGGCTAAATTTAATGACCGTAAAATTTGAAAAAAAAGAGTATAAAACTTATACAACCAAACGTTAAAAATGTTTTCCACATAATATTTAAATAAATAGCATAATTGTATCGTATAAAAAAGGTATAGGAAAATCTCTGCCACTAGGATTGTTCGGGTTTCATTCAATGGTTCTTGACCATTACGAAGTTAATGTTGCCCACCGTAGTTGAAATGCATATGGTTAAAGATTTTCATCGAAATATTTTTTTCCCTTTTTTTTCTCAACCGTACCTCAGAGGAAAGCATTTAGTTTCATTTGTCACTAAAATATGCAGCCGGTTTTTAGTATCTGAGTTTCCATTATGAATAATTACCAAGCACGAGTCCTTCTTTTTTCTTTCCTCCGTCTATTCCTTTTTTCTCTCTTCCCGTTTTCTTACTTCCAATTTCGGGTGAACGAAGAGCTTACAGCCCCCATGGGCCCGCCCATGTTTTACAGTTGGGAGATACCATCACAGGACTGTGGGTTGATTGTTGAAATGTATAGACAAAGTAAAAGACAAAGAAGATATAGGGAGTATGGAGCAATCCTATTGGTTGAACGTGGTTCTCATAGACTAAGGGGGAATATGATGGACTAACTAAAGGGTTCCTTGTCGATAGCCGTTTGTAAGTCCATCACCTACCTCCTTTGTCCATCGCAACCACTCGCTTCCACCAGTAGGATCCCTCCAAATCCATTGTGTATTCTTTGTCTATAGCTCTGTCCATAAATTTCAAAAATCAGCCCGCTGGGGCCGGGGTCTGTAAAATACATCATCTCTGAGTAATAACTTCGTGCGGGAGACAAGCTTACAACAACCTGGCATTCCCTCCTCATTAGCCACAGTCTTCATCACTGGAAAAAAACACATTGGATCTAGAGTCCAGACTCTTAAAAACATCGAAAAGAAAAACTACTCTTGATTCAATCAGAATCTAGCTGAAATCAAGAACCAAGCCTCTTAATTTAAGCAGATTTCGTTTTGATTCAAGCAAAAATCCGATTGAATCAAGAGTATTTTTTCTTGTCAATGTTTTCAAGAGTCTGGACTCTAGATACAATTTGTTTTTTTCCCAGTGTATATCATCTCTGAGTGATAACTTGGTGCGGAGGACAAGCTTACAATTCCAACTTGGCATTCCCTCCACATTAGCCACAGTCTCCTTACCGCAGTGCTAAAGTGTTGAACTCTAACGAATAAAACCAGCTTTGAAATGGACATACGCTCGGCCAGCGCCGTGCCGCGCTGGCAAACATTTTCTCGGATATGGATGTGAGTTGGATTCCGCTGCCGGAGGAATGGCGCCCTCTCAAGACGTGGTGGAGGCGGAGGTGCGCCCCCGGCGGCGCCCCCGCGGGAGCTCGCTCTCCCTCTCGGGCTCCGAGTCGGAGGCGCCCCCTCGGCCGGCGACCTCCCCGGCCCCGTGGCCGCCGCAGAAGACGCTGCTCCGCTTCAAGTCGCCCTCCTGCTCGCAGCTGAGCCTCGGCTCCTCGAGCGGCTCCGCGGACTCCGGCCTCGGGTCCTCCGTCACCTCCGCGGAGGCCTCCCCGCGCTCCTCCGTCTGCTCCGGCGAGTCCCGCTGCTCCACTTCCTGCGCCTGCCCCTTCCGCCCCCGCAAGCAGGGCCGCCCCCCGGCCCCCGCCGAGCGAAGGGAGAACGCCATCAGCAACAAGCTCAAGCACCTCAAGATGCTCGTCGACAAAGCCATCAAAGTAAGTTTCAACAACTCACAGGCTTCAAATGTTCATGGAGAATAAACTCTTGAAATTGCATGTGAAATATTTCAGTAAGTTCGAATTTTTTAGCCAACGTGCATTACACTGGAAAGAAAAAAACACATAGAATCTAGAATCCAGACTCCTGAAAACACTGACAAGAAAAAATACTCTTGATTCAATCGGATTTTTGCTTGGATCAAAACGAAATCCGCTTAAATTAAGAGGCTTGGTTTTTGATTTAAGCTAGATTCTGATTGAATCAAGAGTACTTTTTCTCGTCGATGTTTTTAAGAGTCTGGACTCTAGATCTAATGTGTTTTTTTTTTTTTTTTTTTTCAGTGAATCAGCATAAAGCTGAAAATCTCAATGCAGAGGGAAAAAGTTGATAAAAACACAACTTTCCCTTAAAGAGATACGCTGTTTGGTGCAATACTTGTAACGAAGGAAGGCAACTGCAGACGCGTTTCGGCCTTGTTGGGCCAATCCTCAGTGCAGCGCAGCCTCCTGAATTTCCTGCTACCAGGCTCGGCTAGCAAGAGCGTAGCTCTTTGAGAGAAAACTGTGCTCGTATGAGCTTTCCCCCTCTGTATTGAGATTTTCAGCTTTATGCTAATTTTAATCGCACGTTGGCTAAAAAATTCCAACGTACTGTCTTACGACCCATGCGTCTACCGCAATCAGTTTGTGTGAAATATTTTATGAATTTCTTAGAGATAAAAAAACTGTGAAGGGTATTGAATTTCAGCTTCAGGGCTCATGGCAGCTCAGGCAGATGCCTTGCTTTTTCTGTAAAAAAAGGGGCCCCGGCACTATTTGACCATATTTGTTACGTATAGTTCGAGGCACATTTTTTAGTGTTTTTTTTTCCTTGTTTAAATGTACGTATGTGTACCGATTAATCGTGCAATAACTTACAAAGCCAGGCGTCCGAAAAATCATCAAAACTTTCTCAATTTTCGCGACCGCACTTCGTTTGGCGCAATACGTGAGGTATTTCTACAGTCTTGTAGGCGCTAGTATGCTTTTCGCGCCGACCGCCGCGCCGCCGCCGATCGCACTGTGTTTGACACAATGCGTGAAGTATTCCTGCACTCTTGTAGGCGCTAATAATGCTAGCAGACTCGAATAAAAGGTGGATGAAGTTGAATCCTTCGAAGTTTTTATCAATGATGATTGTCCTATTTTTAAGTCTTACTCTACAAGTTTAGAGGTGCAATATTATGTCAAAATTGGAACACGAATTATACTTCATAATATAAAATCATAAGTGTAACGTCTAACGAATAACGCATAACGCATAACGCTTGAGGCGGGAAGTGCCTCGAGGGGTTTAACCGCGAAGTGGTCAGAAGGCGCACCCCCTAGTTGAAATATAAACGTGTGAAATGCAAGGATGAAAATGAGACCGACCTAAAAGACGCCATGTAATCGGGCCAAGGTTTTCGCCGAAAGCCTACTCTCCATCGGCAGTGAGCTCTCTCGGAGAAAGGCAGCATAGACATTGCAAAATCCATCTCTAATTGGTTTCATGAAGATCTAAGGAACCAAAAAATAGCCGCCATTGCATGGAAATGATTTGAAATGACAGAAAATTAGGGTCTACTTTCTTGTGTCACTGTGGAATTTAGTTTAGGTAAAAATATTTTCTCGAGTGTAATGCCCGTAATTGGTTTCAGAATTGAGTAATTACATCTAACTACGAGTATGTAACCTAAGGAGAGTTCACTGGAATACAAGTAATTAAAACCTTATTTTTAGTCCTTTCAAAATACCCGCATGGTCCGTCGTGCATCCTGAGAGCTCTTGCAAGAGATAACAGATGGATTCACCAGGGTCCAAATACTGAAGCGGCACGTCAGAGAAAAGTGTGTGAATTGAAGTTTAGGGTCAAACTTGCGCGTGTCGTAAACACTCTGTTAAAAAAAAAATGTCCAATTGAAAAGAAAAAAACGAAGGGAACATGGAAATCTCATAAAGTTTAAAAGAGAGGCACGTGTAGAAAATAAATCAAAATTATGAAAATATTTTATGCGTTGTTACTTAGAAATGTAGAATAGCCAATTCTTTGTCTTTCAGTAACGTAAATTGCACACGGTTTGTACGTAAAAATTGGTTCATATTGGTACCAATTGGTGCAATTGGAATTTCCTATCTCAAAAATTGTATTGGCAGAGTTTTCAACAAACTTTTTAGGAGTGATTGCTTCTCCAATTTGCCAGATCGTCAGGAAAAGAACACGCAAATCAACGACATACCAAATGATTGTGGTGCGTCTATCATTTGCGTAAATCGGACACAATTTGTACGTAAAAATTGGTTCATACTGGTTCAAATTAGTTACATTGGAATTTCCTAATTCGAAAATTTTTTGGGCAGAATTTTCAATACTTTTAGAGGTGACCTTTAGACTTTTTAGGAGTGATCGCTCTTCCAATTTGCTAGATCGTCAGAAAGGGAACACGCAAATCAACGACCTACTAAATTATCGTGGTGCGTCTATCATTTGCGTAAATCGGACATAATTTGTACGTAAAAATTGGTTTATATTGGTTCAAATTAGTTCCATTGGAATTTCCCATTTCAAAATTTTTTTGGGCAGAGTTTTCAACAAACTTTTTTAGGAGTGATTGCTCCTCCAATTTGCCAGATCGTCAGAGAGGGAATACGCCAATCAACGGAAAACTACCCGATGGTGTTGCGAACGTGGCAAGTTGGGCAGTAACTTTTTAGGTCGGTTAATGTCGATGAAAAAGTGGTTGAACTCTATTCGTGGGCAGGAACTGGGGCACGGCGAGAATTATGAGGCAGCGCCGGGCCTAGCTTTGTCTCCGTCGATTTTCCTCTCGGCCGCTTGTTTCTCCGCTCCCTTTCGCTTTCCGTGGTCTTAGACTCCCGCCATGTATCATCCGTTTTATCGCCCCTGCAATGGCAACAGTGTCGCCAAATCGGACCCAACCCCACGAATTTCCCCCGCAACTTCGGAATCCGGAATATCCGGATTGCACCGCCCGTAATGTCGCCGCAAAAATTTTAGCCGTGTTGCCAGTTTATCGCAAATCTTAAGTTTGCCGGGGAGGTCGATACATAGTGAAAATTTTTCACGGTCTCATCCGACAATGCTATGTGACACTTCGCCAGCCAGTAAGTTTAACCTCTCAATTTCCGATAGCGGTTTTCTTGCGGTTTCTCATCCTCTGTGAAGTCGTGGTAAGGGAAACTCGTCTATAAAATGTATGAATGATGGGCGTCGAAGTTCGCTTTTTCTTTAAATGTGGAGAAATATTGTTGTTTATGTTATGTTATGTTTGTTGGAATAATGGTATTTCCGACACTGGAAGCCCGGCTCATAGATTTACATGGGAGGTAATGATTTCTTCAGAGAGGGGAGGGGTAGTGTAAAAAGGGAACCTCTATACTTGAGAGGTCGTTGTTTCTTCAGAAATGTAATTCAACGGATCACAAGTTTTTACATTTGACAGATGATTTTTCAAATTTGAGCCCTGCTGCGTTGAAAATGAAGTTTAATTATTTTAGTTACTTCCTTTGTTCACTTCAGTATAAGGAAGTTTATGTATACTGAAGAACTGGAATGGGGTCACTCCATGACAAAACTATTTGCAACTCATTCAGATAAGTGCATGATCAAATTAGAAGAGACGCTCAAATTTTAGAAAGATTATTATGTGTCAGAGGAGAGCCAACATTTTAATATTATCTTGCATTGATTTTCTTTTTCTTTTGGTATTGAATTATAATTCCTCAAAGGAGAACCACAAGTCTTTATTCAAATGCTTGTATGCACAGAAAATTCATTCATTGACTTTATCATGCGGTGTCGTTTAGATTTGTGAAAAAAGTTCAACAAAGAGGCCGTAATACGTCTTCCCTAACTTTGGCTGTGTTGCTCACATAGTCCTTGATCCTTGAGGCACCGATACAAAGCGACAGGCGGAACCAACGAAACACGAAACAAAGCAAAAGAAAGGACGCGCGTTGCTGACGGCGAAGAGATACATCTATTCGTGCTTGATGGAGGTCCATATTGCGTCCGCAAAATTGAAGGCGCCATGGCCCATGGCGCGAGGCGTAAACTCGCATTGTTCCACTTCTACCAATGATGTGTCGCTCAGATTTGGGAGAAAAGTTTAAAACGAGGCCTAGTTACGTCTCTCCTATCTTCGGCTGTGTTGCTCACGTAACCGTTGAAAACAGACAAACGGAACCAACACAACATGGGTATAGAGCGAAGGAGAGGACGTGCGTTGCTGACGGCGCAGAGATGCATCTATTCGTGCTTGATGGATGTCCGTAGTGCGTCTGCCAAATTGAAGGCGCTTCGGCGCGAGATATTTACTACAATCACAATTGCGTGCCCGATAAACGCATCTCGCTCGCACAGGGAAAGTTTCAGAGCTCTCTCAATTTTTTTTTTAGATATCGTTCACTTAAAGTCCCAATTCAATCTTCGCGGGTGAGTAGATCAAAGCTGCTGGGGAGCACAGAGACTAAGCTATTCGCAAGATCTGCAGTTATTCCGCTGCATACTTTGACTGAACCAATACATAAATTATTGATATCGTCCACTTAAAAATGACTTCAGTTTTGTGCATAGGTAACGGATGCATGTATTTTGTTCAGGGGATGTTTTTGGCATTCGTTACTTTGTGTTTTTGTATTTTTGAATGATTTGCTTTGGCAAAATCTTCGGGAAGTAACAGAAACTGTGCATTTTAGAGCTTTAAGTAGGATTAATAGGGGTGCGGATTAGGAGAATGTATCTTCAAGTTTTGTGATCCAGGTTTCAACATCAAACTACAAAAAAAAACTTCCGCTGTGAAAACCACACGTATGGCTATATAGACTTACCGTTCGTTCCATACTCATTGTCAGAGGCCGGAAAATTCGGGTGAAGCACCCGTTGCTCCGGCCGGCCACCGAACCCGAAGCTTTCGATGTCTGAGCCCGGGACGGACAGTACGGCTACGTAGATGTAACTTTTTTTTTCAGTGCATCGTAATTACGGCATTTTTTATTGGGCATTTCTCGCATGGGACATTTAAAATGGGACCATTCCGCCTGCCTCTCGTATTGCGTTGAAAAATGGACTACACTTTGCAATCGTAGGAACTAATATTTCTAGCTCATCCATGAAAACATTCATGTGCTCAGCCTTCTAAGACGCGAATATTTTACAATTTTTTTAGGGCTTCAGTCGTAAAGCCACTTTAACTTCTCACATTTTTACATTCCACACCGTCAAAAATCGAAAAAAAGTTAAATATCCCGTGTGCAGTGTAAAATAAAACATTAAAGATCGCCTTAAATTATTCAATAGTGTCGCTATGACGAGTCAAATCAGAACTTGAAATGGAGAGTCGATTTGCTACTAGATCTCTACCACTTCTAAAATGAAAGGCAAGACACCTTGTTTTCAGGACTTGGGAGGCTAAGGAAACTAATGTTGTATGTACGTTGTTCCTGAACTGAGCCAGAAATTTTAGTTCCTAACTGATAACATAGAGTACATAGAGTCGCGTCGTAATGTAAGAGGTAAGGTCGTTATGGAGAGCTGGCGCCACTTTTAAGCGTTTTCCAGGTCCCAAATTCTGTGACTCCTGTGTCACGCCGGGTCACTTTTTCGATACTTAGTTGATTGTTTTCGATTCCCGGGGAGCCGGCCGATGTAAGCAGTATGTAGGAACTACCACGTATTCCACACCGCCATTTTGGATCGACCATGTATCGAAAAAGTGACCGAAGCTCGGCGCACACCGGGCTCAGAACTGGATTGCATTTTGCAAAAAGGAACCAAGAGCGTTCAAACGTTGCTAAGATTGTTCAACTTATATTCTTTGCAATAAAATTATTGGAATCATGCAAAAAATTAATTACATACGTAATTTTCGTTTTGAATTACAGTTTATTGGGACTAAAAATAAAACTTGTCTGATGAATAGAGTACATTTGCAAGGTTACAAAAGTTGCACAGTCTTAGCGACATTGGAATGCTCCTGGTTCTTTTTCGCGAAATGCAATCCAACTCGTCGACCGGAACATGGCGCCAGCTCTCCCATTTACATTACGACTCTATGTACTGTATGATTGATAACTGCAGTCTAAATAAAATATTATGCGCAAAAAGAGAGCGGAGGTGGAAACGCAGGGTTACCGGGTGCCTCCGACGATGGTATTGCGTGAGGAGGCGGAAGATGAACAAGATAAGGGATGATGCTCGCGAGGGGTGGGGAAGGGGGGTGGAGACCTGCGAAACAGCGGGCGGCGTCGTTTTGCAACCTGTTGCACGGGCAGCTGAGCCCGGTGGAATGCAAATCGATGCGGCAGTGCGTTCTTTGGCGAATGTTTGATCGATATTAAAGCCAGTTAAAAGCCTAATTGTCCCCGCCGCCGCCGGGCGCCGCTCTCGGCCGGGCGCTAAGTCGCTCTAAGTCCTCGCTCATTCGGCTGTTGTTTGTTTCCAGTGGCACAAGACCTTCACTATCTTGGGACCCTTCTCCTCCGTCCGAGAGTCGCTCAAACTTCGCGGCTGGGTCGAGAAGTACGGTGATGGTCAGCTCAGACCTCAGCCTGCCGAGTCCTGTGAGTACTTTTTACTATTTTTTTCAAATCGAATCAGTGAGAACGAAAAAACACCAACTCGGTAACTCAAAAATCCTCAATTTTCATTAAAGAGAGTCAGTTTTCGTACAAGTAAGTGAAGTCGTTAACGCATCTAGACGTGTTAACTTCGGAGTTGGAACAGCTGTTCCTTTAAAGTGTCCTTAAGTACTTGTCTTTCGGCACCAAAAATATTTTTCTTGCTCTAACTTCTTCAACTACTGGGCAAGTTTGCGTGTGTCTTGATTATTTTCAGATTTTCGAGTTGGTGTGTTTTTCGTTCTCACTGATTTAATTATTTTAGTCGTGGAATGGACCACTCAACACTCAACAGAGACGTTTATTTCTGTCAATTTTTATTTTATTAGGGAAATGATGATGGAACATCGAGTAGAAAGCCAGTCAAATATATGTCGACGGTGAAACTACCAAACCACGTATCTCGTTTGCGGTGTTTAAAAATCTACGCTCGCATTTAATTTTTTTGAAGTAGACCAAATCAATATCATTCCTTGAAATTTTCACAGAATTTTCTCCACACGAAGAGGAAAAATCACAGAAATTTTCAAGACTGGACGTTAAGTAGTTTTTCATTTAAAAAATAAAGTATGACAGGAAGTCTGCGACGTCGCAAACCGAGATACGTGGTTTGGTAGTTTCACCGTCGATGTGTCGCAGGCAGGTGGTCAAATCAGGCATTTTATCAAATGTCTGGGCATATAGTCAAATTTTGATAGTTCATGAAATTTTGCAAGTATGACGGAAAGCTCGCAGGAAGGAGAAAATGACTCATCAAATCTACAAACTCTCCTTCTTTCTGTTTGAATGTTCCTCTTATATTTAAATGTAAAAATCTTAAATATTCTGTGTTTTATGACATACTGTAAATTTCGACATAAATCAACAGAAAGCAATATTATGTCATTGAGAACCTTGCTTATACAATAATATTGGATTTTACACTTTCCTTTCCATTCTAAAGCATTTTATTTGTAAGTCATCGAGAAAAATGCAGCACTTCGAGTACATTGTCCACTGAACAGAAGACGGAAATTAGGTTAAAGGCAGATACTGGTAGGTTTAAGTGTACTAGTGAGCAAAAATTTTGAATGGGCACTATACAGGGTCAGAAATCAAACATTTCGATGTATGTTTTCGTAGTAAAATTACACATACAATAGAATACACATTCAAAATGATCAATTTTAACTTTAAGTGAGAAATCAGCGTTTTCCTTAATTCAAACTTCCCACTACCGTAATGTTAAAATATCGTTCAAAAGATCCAAAGTTTCAGCATTTACGTTAATCAAAATAAACACAGGACGTAGAAGTGTAGAGCAGAGCAAATATACAAAAACATTCATTTTTAATTCTTTTACTTTTTCAATCTATTTATTTAGGCTGTACCTGTCAATTTTAGGCAGCAATTTTACCTCTCCAAGAGAATTCCGAGGTAATAGGGAAATAATATGCGCAGTTTTCAATCCAAGCATACTTTCTTGTACAATATGCTTCACCGTATGGTTCATTTTTTGTGTGTGCTGTATTTCGTAATACACCTTGTGCTCACCGCTGTTCCAATGGACTACTAGACAAGGTACGAATTTTAGCATTCTGATACATGTCTCTTAACCAGAATTTCACGAAGAACACGATTCGCGCAACGAAAATTACTGAAACCAACTCCTAACGGAGATATTAATATTTTTATTTCACATTGTCTACGAGGAATTTGAACTGCCCGCTCACAAAAAAATCAAAGCTCTACGTGAGTCAAATCGCGCACTGCAACGGTTTCAGCAATCTTCTCAATCGAGCAATGCAGGCTATCTCCATTTAAATCTTCCGTCACATTCTTACGGCGCAATGATACAACTATTTGAACTCTCCGGAATGCGTGAGGTATCACGCCGCATTTGAAGGCGTTTTCAAAACAGCCAAGTTGCGATACCCGGACTATCGTTTTGCATAGTTCATATTCTTTTGTTTCCATTTCTAACCACTTGTTTAATTATAATCCTCGTAGAAAAACCACCCATTTGCTAAATACAATTGTAGCTGAAGCGCACTTAAGCGCATTCATGACTGCAAAAATGTTAACGAAAATTTGAAGCTGTAGTTAAGAATCGATTATCAAGGTGTTCCCTGTTTATCGATCCTTTCCGATAGGTTTAAATGATAGATAAATCGATATATTGCAAAGCACGCCACGCCGCTGCCTTGTATATAAGGGAACACGTATCAGAATGATTGATTTCTCACTTTATATGTATAGTGGTCCATTTTATCAATCTTTGTCAAGATTTGTCAGCCTTTTACTTAATGCAACTAATCGTGCTTAATGGATGTCCGTGTTGCATATGCAAAATACCGAAGGCGTCGTGCCTTTTTTTCGCAATAACATTACTTTTCATCATCAATAAACACGAGGACATGTGCATGACAGCGCCTGGATGCAGCTATTCTTACTCAATGGTTGTGCGTGTTCCATATGCAATTACTGAGGGCGTAGTGTCCCTTTTATTTTGGAATATTCAATCTTAAAATTAGTGCTGAAAACAAACCTTGGGTCCGTCAAAAATTCCAACCTCTATAATTTAAATTTAAGCAAAATTCTGCAGTATAGTAGTTAAACTAGAGGAATCAAGGAAGCCAGTCACATTATTTTCATCGTAAAACTTCGAGAGTTATTTTGTCATAACGTGAGCTCAAAACTTGCCCGGCACGCTCTGTCCTCAAGTTCCTTAAGATCGCTTAAAAGATAAGGACTTATAGATGACTTGAGCCGGGAACACGCACTTGCTTTGCGGCTCCTGCATTTCATTCGTGTACCGCGAAAATCCCCCAACATTATCGGTTAATTGATTTTTTCCTCTTCTTTTATTTTCGTTACCTCTGGCGCGGAAAGAGGGGAATGGTGTACGAAGCAATGGTAGATGAAGAGGAACATGGAGGAAGAGACGAAGAGAAATGAGGAGAAGATAAGAGCAAAAGGAACTTATTTTACTTTTTTCTTAGTTGTTTTCTTCCACTTCTCGTGCCCTCTCTCCTTCTTCGGCTACCAATTTCTAATGGATTGTATTCGATACATCCAACATGTGAAATTGCATCGATATTGATTGGTTCAACACGTAGACGTAGCCTCAAAAGTCAATTGAGTAATCTGATGTAGCGGGTTTTTTTTGTGATAGATATTTGATACTTATGAGCTCAAAATGGCTATGAAGAGTGAAATTACTAGGAATTTTCTCAATTTCAGCTTTTCCAACTTAACTCCTAAAATTTTTGTTAGGTTACGTTCTATCCTTTTGAACCAAACGATACATCGAACCTCTGTCGAAAATGATCTATGCGTAATGGGTCTAGGACACCCCGCTTCAGCCACACTATGCTTAACGATAGAAAGAGATCGGGGGCCTTTGATTCTCTTCCGAAGCCCATTGCCTGGTTTCCCTAAATGATATAATTCACTAACAATATGATCGGTGTCATTATAAACTGCGATGGACAATTTTATCGCGATGTTCATCTGTTGCCCTTATAGCCAGTGCTTCTGTCCTTCGAGGAACTAACTACGAGGATAATACGATAGGCGACGGTAAAATATAATAGTCGTTTCACACGAAAACAGTTTCATCATGAGAGCAGGAGAGTCAGGAATGCAAAAGCGGCCGGCATTACTTTAGTCTTAAACTTTACTCGGGCCTTAGAACTTTCAAGTGGAGTACTTGGGTACCATTAAACAATTTATGACTTTTTAACGCGTTTGCATCATGCACTAAGAAAAAAATGGAGCACAAGGCCGAGTTACGAGAGCGAAGCAGATATATCGAATTATATTCACAACCTTTTGATTTTTCTTCACTCTCATTGAGTATTTTTTTCCTTATTTTTATAACCCTGTTGGAAGTTTGGGAAAAAATCGGTAATTTTATTTTTCTCCGTTTTACGTTTCTATTTCTATAGTTAGAGTAAAGCCGGTAGCCAGTAAACATTTTATTCACGTACCTAAATGTCTCCCACAGCTTAGAACACATTTTTTTCTTGCGTTGAATAATAGCTTAGTATAATTTTTGGAATCTATGAGATTTTGACCGTCCTAGAAAATGCCCCTGAAGTCAGTGACTCCATTTCAAACGTTTCAAACTTTCTTTCTTTCTCGTCATTCCCCATCATTAGCACAACAGTTTAATAACATTTAACATTTCAGTTAATAAACAACAGTTTAACTTTACTTAAATAACAGTTAATAATAGTTTTTTTGTTCAGGCGATGCATTGCCCCTCCAAAAAAAAAATTTATCTTGAAATTTCAGCGGGATAATTGACTGTAGCACCCCTACTTTGTCCGATTGAGCTCAAATTGGTCTTGAACGATGGAGAATCAACGCCTGTCTTTGCTCATCTCATTGTTTTCGTTTCTGACCCCCGAATTTCCCTCTCCTCCAAAGTGGTTGGCGGTATTTTGGGGCATCTAAAAGGCAGCACTCCCATTTGGCCAAATTACGCTCAAAAATTGGTCTCCAACGATGCAGAATCATTCGCTCACCTTTGCGCAATACTTTGTCTTTATTATGCACCCTGATGTACCCCGATGTACCCCGATGTACCCCGATATACCCCAATGCACCCTGATGTACACCGATTTATAAATGGATCGCACTTAGGAAAAAGGAACCAGCGCAAATATAGTGTTGTTAAAATGTTGTTTCTTCATAATTATCTAAAAAATCTCCCAAAATAGCAAAAAGTCTTTACATTCCACCAAAAAAGTGTCATTTCCAAAAGGAAATAACTGTGTAAATTTTAACACTGTACATATATTTATTATTTTTAAAAGAAAAAAAGAATTTGTACGGTTTTGAAAACACTGTAATCACGCGGGCTCCTTTTTGTTAAAGGCGATATCAACAGAAGAAATCACCGGATTAAAGTTGAACACGAGGACTCAGATGTTATTGTGAATGTTGCAGGCAAAACTGGGAGCGGAAGTGGGTCAAGTGGGAGCTCGTGTTCGCCGGGCGGATCCCTGCATCCGAACCTAACCCCGGAGCAGAGGGAGGCATTGCTGGTCACTCGGCTACTCAGGGACGCCTCGGTGGACTTACTATGGACCATGCACAACCACATCATCGACTGGAAGCAGCTCGATAAGTCCACCATCGTCAGCCGCTTCCCACGAGCATACTTCACTACAAAGGTAAACCCAAACCATTGGCGGATCCAGCAAATGGGCAACATTGTCTTTCCTCCATTTAAACTTATGGAATTGTGTCGATTCTTGGTGGGGCCAGGTGCTCCGATAAGAATTGATTATTTAACGTGGGTTTAAAGGGAGAAAATCCGGTGTTGCCAAATTACTGGATCCGCCTCTGACCCAAACCCATACTTCAGACATACTTCACCTTAATTGGATTACATTTTGCAATAAGGGACCACTATTTCTGGCCCATTTTATAAATAACATACATGCAATTGGTTTCCCTATGCAGATATGTGCTTGTGTGAGAGCTAGAGATACTGGTTCCTTATTGCAAAATATAATCCAATTAAACAATGAAGAATATAGGTGAATCCAGACACCTCGAACGGAATGGACGGATTAATTGGGGGAAAGGGGAGGGGGGTAGCTAGTGGATATGAAATATAGCTCAGGCAAAAAAAGGGGGTCCGGGGGGCTTCTCTCGGAGAAATCTCGGAATTTTTTAGCATCTAATATGCGACCTGTCTGTAATAAGGTGGTGAAGATTCGGTAAAATGGTGCTGGGTCCACACTATTTTGCGGAGCAAGCAAGGCTGAAAATTTCAAAAATTTCCTCCCTCAGTCGTGTACTAATATTCATTAAAACTCAAATTTTTGACTCTAATTGAGATTTTTAGAATTTTATGGCTTTGATTTCCCCAGTAAATAGTGCAGACCTAGCACTATTTTACCACCTTTAAATAGATTGAGTTTAGCACAGAGGACTACGAAAAAGAAGATGAAGACGTAGAAGAAAAGAAGAAGAAGGCGAACGAGGGAGGACAAGGAGAAGAAAGAGGAAGAGCAGATTGAGAATGTATCTTTTTATTTTTTTTCCCGTTTATTCCTTCTCCTTCTTCGTCTTTGTCCTTTCTCTGTTCCTTTTCTTCTTACTCTTCATCTTTTTTTTACTTCCTTCTCTCGCTCTCCTCCCTTCTTTCCTTCTTCCTATGTCTTAAGTATCTATACCTCAAACATGTTAGGAATTTTAAGCTATCCCAACAACTTACCCATGTAAGGGCCGATAAGACCCAAGTCTATCAAACTAGGGTTAATAGATCTGAGAAAAAGAGAAGAAAAAAATAAATGAACATATCTTCGTAAGAAGAGTAGAGTCTCTGTTTGCAAGTTATGAATGTCGACATACTATGTTTCGGTAGGTTGGATTGTGTGATAACCTGCAGCAAATCCAATGGTTCTGCGAGAGTGGCGTGGCGAATATCCTCTTCCCGCGGTGCTACAACATCACGAGCACAGATGAGTTGAACGCCTTCATCCACGATTTCCGACTCACCGCCTGCCACAGCCTCCTCCGTTTCGTCGTTCAGTCCATCGACGACGAAAGGCCTGACTTCTTCACCGATGAAGGCAAAGTAAGTGGCCAATCTATATTGCTACTAGACCCCTATGAAGAATCTACATATGTAGAAAGAGTATAAATGGATCTCCTGCATGTGTTAGGAATTTGCGATCTACGAGGAGGGACCCAAAAAAACTGGAATTTTGCTGTAACTTGGCAACGCTGGAAAATATTCGGATTCTACCGCTAGGAGGTGTACCTAGGAGCTATAAAGAGTCACTAGGTCAAATTTAAACAATGTAGCATATATTCACTCATTTTGGTGACACTTGGCTTGAGGGATTTATTAGCGAGTTCGTCGTTTTTTAAGATGGGTCAATTTCAGTGACAACATTTAGCGCTCAAATTTTTCCCTCTCACTTGATGCTACATGGCTTTTTCTGTTAAACTTTTGAAGTGATGCTTCTGAAGGACAAGCCTCATTAAAAAATTCAGTGCAAGTACGGTTTTTTGCTTTAGAAATGGTGCTCTACCTCCCGAAACCCCTGTACGGCTCGAAACCACCATCGCTATTGGCTAGCGCCGATGGAAACATGAATCACATAAAGACACTATTCAACCATGCAGGAGCGTGCGTTGCCTATCCACAAAATTGAAGGAAAACTGATACGGCGTTAAAGTGACGTCTTCCGGTTTATTTTTTGAGTGTCCTTTAAGTGACCATGCCATTTCACAACGATACCACTATTCGACCATGTAGGAGCTCGCGTTGCCTATATACTGAAATTGAAGGCAAACTGGCATGACGTTAATCCAGGGTGGCAAAATTCCATGGAAAATAAAATTTTGAAGTTCCACGTGAAATATTGCATGAAATTTCAGAAATTTATAAAAGATATTGAAAAATATCGGATCCTTTTTGTGTTTCGCAAAATGTAAAAATTGTGAATTTCTTCCATTTTTGTGTGTTTGAGTGCAGGTTGCATATCTACCCTAGCCCCTGAAAAATATGAAATGTTTCACAGCCTCGTGGAATTTCATGAAATATTTCACTGAAATTTCCAATATTTCATTTCTTTCTTACGTTTCATGCGACCCTGCGTTAATCTAATCTTTCCCGTTTCATATAAAGCTTTTTTATGTGTCACGATGACGTGTCCTCTTTAATAGTCCATTTGCATAGAGTATATAGAGTCGTAATGTAAGTGGGTGAGCGGGCGCCACTTTTAAGCATTTTCCATGTCCCGAATTCCGAGACTCCTGTGTGACGCCGGGTCACTTTTTCGATACATAATCGATTGTTTGCGGTACACGGGTACCCGGCCATCCGATGACAACAACAACAACAACACCAAAGTAGATAGGAATTACCACGTATTCCACACCGCCATTTTGGATCGAAAATGTATCAAAAAAGCGACCCGAACTCGGCGCACACCGGGCTCGGAATTCGTCGAGCAGAACATGGCGCCAGCTCTCCCATTTACATTACGACTCTATGTACTCTATGTCCATCTGTGACGACTCCATCTATTATGATAATTGTGTGTGCCAAGGTACCATTGTGCGCGGTGGAGTTCGCTGCGCGACGATGCGCGGAGCTGATTTGTGTGCGACAACATGAGGACATCGACCAGCGGGACCACGCCAAAGTTTGGGACCACCAATGGGACCAATTCCTCACTTGGTACTACCTTCTCGTTCATGACAACGTGCCTTTTGTTTCAGCAACTGCCAATCAAATCAATGTGAGTATTCTTCAGTCGTCGTCTAAAAAGCTGTGACGTAACGTTTCCACGAAACACGGAAAAAACGACCCTAATACTGGACCCCAGAATGGCGCCACCTGGATTTTTAATACTGCGGTACTAAGGAAGAACGTCTCATGAGCCTTTAGACGTTGCCAGATTTCCTTTAGTAAAAACCTAATCTGACTATTCGTGACCCAAACCTCTCCTGTACACTAAATTTTCTAATTTTACTCATAAGGAAGATACTTCTCTGTTTGTTGACACCATGATCGTTGACACCATGCAACGTTACCAAAATACACACTAAGAGATAAATTTGAAGGGCGTGTTAATTGATAACGTATAATTCTTTATTTTCATGTGCAGGCAATTTACACTTGTAGTAAACACACGGTTGAATCCATTCAGCCTTTCTGGCCGCAATGGCACCTGGACGGTGTCCACAATATTTGGATCGTGAAACCTGCCGCCAAATCCCGAGGACGAGGCATTCAAGTCACGCCAAAATTGGAGGACATACTTGCCAGAATTAGTAACATCAATTCTAAAGATCCCCGATATGTTGTTCAAAAATATATAGGTTTGTATTTGAAATATGTATTCCTATCATCACATTATACAGGGTTATTCAAAAGTCACGCACCACTGGTCATTAGAAGGGTGACCATTTGAAATTTTTGAGTTGCCCCCCGCGGGGATAAAAAACTGGAAAGTTCTTTAAAAAATTTTCCCCCTCGATATGAGGAAGTCATATTGCAAAGCCTTCCGCTAGTTGATATCATAATTAGAACTAAAGTTATGGCCAGTGGTGCGTGACTTTTGAATAACCCTGTATAATTCCGTAATCCCGATCCTTCAGGTCAAATTTCAGCGGGGACCGGCAGGCCGATCCGGGCGCGGGTGGTACCGATTTGACCGTCCCGGTCCCCCGATGGCCGGAAAAATAAAGGGATCGCGCGGCGGGTCCCGCGCCGCTTGTTCTCTTTGAAAGATCGATTATCCCGTTCGTCCCGTCGGGATATGAGCGCTTTTTCGTTATTTCCGGGCGCTTTTTTCCCCCCGATCCGCTGGTGATTTGACTGTCCGCGGCAATGAGTGCCCGAGTGCTTAAATTTGTACTTTGTTTAGTGATAAATTCAATATAAAAAAGCGAGCATACAGAACTTTCCTAACTTTTCTTAGAGAAAATATTTTCTCGGGAGAAACGAGGCAACGTTGGAGTGCTCATACGGCGATATGGGCCTTTTAGAACCCATTGTTCGATGCCGCAATTATCCTAACGCAAGTTCGAATAATCGCGCCAAACACGGCGCGGTCGGCGTCGAACTCATATCAGCGCCTGCAAGGCTGCAGGAATACTACATGCGTTGCGCTCAATGGTGCGGTCGGCGTCACACGCATATTAGCGCCTACAAGACTACGGGTCATTCCACGTCAACGCAACCAAGGTCGGAACCCGACCCCCTCCGATTTGGCTGAAAATTGGTATACGAGGTCTTTACATCATTCTAAGAAACTAATTTGAAGGGTTTTCCCATCCGACGCCCCGTTCGCGAGATATCGACCCCCAAAGATGGGGTGAATTTTAGTGATATTCAAAAACGCCCGTTTTAGCGATTCTCATTTTCTCGACTTCCCTCTCTTTGACTCTCCATAGCGAGACTCTGTATCAATCCATCATACTTTGAAAGAGTGTTTCTAGACCAGTTTTTCATGTAGATTCTGAATATGCCATTGAAATTTAGCTAAAAATTATTCTAATGGCCGTAATTTAGGGTTTTTTAAAATTTACGATTTTTTCGCCATTCAATGTTCAAACTGAATTATCTCAAAAACAGTCTCTCCGATTTTCGATTTTTTTTTTATACTTCAAGCTTAGGATATATACTTTCGGTTGATATACTTTTTTCAATTGCCATCGGACGGTTAAGGGCCTAAAAAAATTCAAATAGGCCAAAAAAGGCTAAAAATTGGTAAAAAAGGACGATTTTTCACATGTTAATCCAAATATTTCGATAATGAACTCTTCAATTATCGATATTTTTTCCCACTTTACCCTCTAACATGTATAAAATCAGACTATCAACGCTTTCCATACATGCACCGATCGATTAACGGCCTGATGGAAACCGGAAACCGACCGAAAATCCTCGAAATTGACGCAAAAAGACGATTTTTCACACCGTAACCGACACATTCCATGGATTGTAACTGCAATTTCCAATTTTCTCGATCTATTTCAACCTTAAGGTGTATACTTTCGAGTAATAAACCCTTACTATAACGTGCATCGATGGGGCACGGATCCAAACGGAAGTGAAAACCGGCCGGAAATGCTAAAAAATGACGGGAAAAGGCGATTTATTGCATAGTCAGGGGAGCATGTGTTCGAAAATTACGTCCCGTTTGCACGTTTGTGATGCAAGTTTACTCTCTTCATTTTGGTCCCTAGAATGAGAAAATCTTTGGTGGACTCTCCAATTTTGATGCCAAGGCCCCAAAAACAAGATGGCGGCCAAAATGGACGCTGAAATTAAAATTTTGGTAAAACGGCACAAAACGTCAAGAGAGGTGTCGATTCTCATGTTTTTTGGATCGTAGATTCCAGAAAAATTGTCATCCAGACCCCTCGACCCACGGAAATGCCCAAAATCCAAGATGGCGGCCGATTTTGGCTCTTTAGCGGCTAAAACGTCAAATGCGGAGCAAAGAGAGGAGTAAACACACTAGATATCTGTTTTCGAGGTCACAGATTCCAAAAAAATAGAAAAAAATATTTCATGCCAAATGGTGCTGATTTGGATCATGCAAAGGCCGAACTCGGCAGTCATTTTGATTAGTGTGTTCAGGAACACTCTAATCGAAATAATTTTCCGGGTCAGTTTCTATAATTAGCATTATTGGTTTTTTTTAAGGTATACCCCTGCAGAATATGGGTAAATTTGTTCTCAAATACACAATAAAACTATTCCGATGAGTTTTGACCCACTAAATCTGAAAATTGCGTTTATTCTTCCGGATTACCCCTCAATTTTCCGGAAAACTAACCAGGCTAATGACCATTATTTCGGGCGGAATCGGCTTTTCCAGAGAATGGAGATGTTGCACGAAAGAGGGATTTGCGATTTGACCATTGATTCTTATGTAAAAATTCGCGAGAAACACGATGGTGCCACTGGTTTTCTCTGAAATCATCTCCCAAGCTCAAAAAAAGCTCTCAAAGTGAGTCCAAAATGGAGGGGATATCCCATCCTACCCTGAGAGTCCATCTCTACATCAAAACAAACCCTCCATGCAAAGATAGGGAGCAAATACATTAGCAGGGTTGCCGTGTTTTCAGTTTTGGAGTCCCCAAATAAAGTGGTAGCCCTGTCAATGTATTTGCTCCCTAGAGTCCCTTTATACTGAGAATCGAGACAATGTGAATCCATTTCTCATTGTTTCCCGTATTTTAGGCCTCCACAGTGTCACAACCGGGAATAAAGATTACAGTTTCACCGATTGCAAAGATTATAATCTAGAGTCCCTTTATACCCGGAGTTAAGACAACTCGATTATCAGCTGACTGGCAGCCGGCCTTGGCTGGCCATGGAGGCCGAAACGAGTGCACCCTAACGAACGATATTGAGGGATAAGGATCAGGAATCCTGCGATGTCTGTCACACAAAAACAACAACATCAACAAATCGATCAATTAAAAAGAGAATGAGTTTGGTTTGTGAATAATTTCTTAATCTATTTTCATTTTGGACCGATGGAAATAACAACTTACTCTTGATAAACCACAATTAGGTAATATTTTCATTATTCTTGTTCACATTCGAGGTACCGCCATCTTGGTGCACTCGTTTCGGCCTCCATGAGCGAGAACCAATCAGAATTGGATTTTTTTTTAGGCCACTTCCAGCCCAACCAAAAGTGAGTTGTCTTAACTCTGGGTATAAAGGGACTCTATTATAATCTGGAATGGACCGGGGATGGAAGGTTCGGCAAGGAACAAACGGAATGAGGGAAGGAACGAAGAAAGGAATTCGAGAATGGGCCGATCAAAGATTACGAAAAACGTTCAATTTCTGTAATCTTTATTCCCGTTTGTAACTCCATGAGGGGTGTTGTCTTGACTCTCAGTATAAAGGGACTCTATTGCTCCCTATCTTTGCATGGAGAGTTTGTTTTGATGTAGAGGTGGACTCTCAGGGTAGGGCGGGATATCCCCTCCATTTTGACCTAAACTTGAGAGCTTTTTTTGAGCTTGGGAGTTGCTTTCAGAGGAAACTAGTGGCACCATCGTGTTTTTCGCGAACTTTTACGTAAGAATCGACGGTCAAATCGCAAAACCCTCACAAATGCAACATCTCCATTGTAGGGTGATGGAAAAAAACGGAGGTTTCCGGATTCAGCCCCTCAAAATACGTAGGAATCACCTTATCTCATCGGGGAGACATGGTTGTAATTTTTTTGCTTGTTAAACAGTGCCATTGCCGGGGAGTACCTGATACTCCCAATTTCGATAATAATTAATATATTACACATACATACAAAGCCGCTTTTACAGCGATCTCTGGCGCTCTGCGACACCTTACCGCCTAAGCTCCCGATCCTCCTAAGGCCTTTCAGGGAGTTCACATACCCTCATTTTTCTAAAACCCTGTGTCGCCACCCTTTCACTGGGCATCCCCTTTGTCTCCTCCCAGGAGGAACCCAATCAAGCATCTTTTACGGCAGTCCTTCGTTCGTCATTCTATTGACATCGCCAAACCAGTCAAGCTGTCTGATCATGCTGTCGAATACGATGTCATTTTCGACTCCCATAATCTGACGCACTCTTTCATTGCGGACCCGATCGCTTCTAAAAATTCCTACAGCGACCTCCTCCAGAAATCCATTTCCGTTGCTCTTAGCATCCCCTGTGTCCATTCCTTCAGCTGCCAAACTACACTGTCATATGTAAGAATACTTTGGTCTTCGCAATTGAAAATTTTCCTCTTGTTCTCTTTGGAAATCTACGGATCTCGGAGGATTCCATTGAATATAGCTGTGGCCTTCCTTGCTAAGATGTTTCTTTCCTTTATCCCTTTATCCGTTCTTCCATCCTGGGTCAACAGAACCCCCAAGGACCTATAGTGCGCCTTTGATCTGCTGCCCATCCTCCAACTCAATGCTATGTTGATCACCAATAGTTTTATTGCGTGAACATATTTACCTATATTACGGCTCTGCTCCGCATTTGACGTTTTAGCCGCTAAAGAGCCAAAATCGGCCGCCATCTTGGATTTTGGGCATTTCCGTGGGTCGAGGGGTCTGGATGACAATTTTTCTGGAATCTACGATCCAAAAAACATGAGAATCGACACCTCTCTTGACGTTTTGTGCCGTTTTACCAAAATTTTAATTTCAGCGTCCATTTTGGCCGCCATCTTGTTTTTGGGGCCTTGGCATCAAAATTGGAGAGTCCACCAAAGATTTTCTCATTCTAGGGACCAAAATGAAGAGAGTAAACTTGCATCACAAACGTGCAAACGGGACGTAATTTTCGAACACATGCTCCCCTGACTATGCAATAAATCGCCTTTTCCCGTCATTTTTTAGCATTTCCGGCCGGTTTTCACTTCCGTTTGGATCCGTGCCCCATCGATGCACGTTATAGTAAGGGTTTATTACTCGAAAGTATACACCTTAAGGTTGAAATAGATCGAGAAAATTGGAAATTGCAGTTACAATCCATGGAATGTGTCGGTTACGGTGTGAAAAATCGTCTTTTTGCGTCAATTTCGAGGATTTTCGGTCGGTTTCCGGTTTCCATCAGGCCGTTAATCGATCGGTGCATGTATGGAAAGCGTTGATAGTCTGATTTTATACATGTTAGAGGGTAAAGTGGGAAAAAATATCGATAATTGAAGAGTTCATTATCGAAATATTTGGATTAACATGTGAAAAATCGTCCTTTTTTACCAATTTTTAGCCTTTTTTGGCCTATTTGAATTTTTTTAGGCCCTTAACCGTCCGATGGCAATTGAAAAAAGTATATCAACCGAAAGTATATATCCTAAGCTTGAAGTATAAAAAAAAAATCGAAAATCGGAGAGACTGTTTTTGAGATAATTCAGTTTGAACATTGAATGGCGAAAAAATCGTAAATTTTAAAAAACCCTAAATTACGGCCATTAGAATAATTTTTAGCTAAATTTCAATGGCATATTCAGAATCTACATGAAAAACTGGTCTAGAAACACTCTTTCAAAGTATGATGGATTGATACAGAGTCTCGCTATGGAGAGTCAAAGAGAGGGAAGTCGAGAAAATGAGAATCGCTAAAACGGGCGTTTTTGAATATCACTAAAATTCACCCCATCTTTGGGGGTCGATATCTCGCGAACGGGGCGTCGGATGGGAAAACCCTTCAAATTAGTTTCTTAGAATGATGTAAAGACCTCGTATACCAATTTTCAGCCAAATCGGAGGGGGTCGGGTTCCGACCTTGGTTGCGTTGACGTGGAATGACCCCTACTTGAATACTTCTCGCATTGCACCAAACGCAATGCGGAACTCGATCGTCGACCAAAGCATGACGCCAGCTCTCCCATTTGCATTACGACTCTATGTACTCTCTGATTAATATCCAGTATTGACGAAACAATTGTTTCATTGTGTGAGTTTTGCTTCATCATGTAGCATTAAAGCACTTTATTTTATTTGACTCTTAATTTTCCTCCTTTCTTTCAGAAAAGCCACTTTTAATTTACAACACAAAATTTGATATTCGGCAGTGGTTTCTTGTAACAAATATTTATCCATTGACCATTTGGATGTACAAGTAAGTGCTTCATCTTATCATTTATTTCTCTAATTTTTAATCTCTCGGTGTTTTTTCTCGCATTCTGCTGATGAAAACTATAACCGAAAGAAAACGTGTCAGAATAGCTCATTGCCTAAGATAAAGCAAAGAATGTTAGAATATGTATCATATACGTGTCTTCTAGCAATGTGTGATAATTATTTAGCAGCCTCATTGCTTAAATATCTCTGTTGATATGAATTATACGAAACATATTAATGAATTCGTAAGATCTGAGGTGTTATCAGTCTTGGACTTAAAATAAAGTTGGACTGATTTTGACATTTGACAACCTTTATTTATTGTAAATTTTTCTCCTCCTTCAAACTTTTTCAATCATTCAAATCCATCATTTTTCATTAATTTGTTCTTAAATGAATGTTTCAGAGAGAGTTATCTGCGATTTTGTTCACAATCATTTTCCCTGAAAAATATGCACGAGTCGATACATTTAAGTAACAATGCAGTTCAATGCAAGTATAAAAATGGCGAAAGAGACAAAAATTTACCGGACGAGAATATGTGGGACTGCTACACATTCCAGACTTATTTAAGGTATTTTACTTGCTTTCACATACTTTATTTACCCCGTACTTCCTTCATAACACAACAAGTTTGGTAGAATTTCTACAGTGACGAATTTTTAGCCAAAGGTGCAAAGGTGGTAGAATGAAGTCAATTTATCCAGGCTTCTTCCAGGTCCATTTCTCACGATACCTAAATTTTCGACACGTTTAATTTTCTCGTTAAAAAATTAAAAAAATAAAAATGAATGTAGTGATTAGTTTCAGAGATAACACATGCTGCAAATTACCGTCCCTTTGAATTGCCTGTTATATTAGTTTGATCTCTACTTATATCAATTTGCCTGAAACGAGTAGGGAGACCCTACTGGTATTCATAGCTTTTTTAATCGTATCCGTAGCCATTTAAGTGATATCATTAGATCTCCAATAGATATTTTATATACCATACTGCCGTACTGAGGAAAAACGCCGTATGAACCTCCAGGCGTTGCCAAATTTTCTTTATTCATAAAACAGGAATTCCCTGGTAATCTTATGAATATTTTTCTTTCAATTTTTCAGAGAATTTTTTTCGTATATTGTTCTAAAGTTCCAGAAAATTTCGAAGAAAAATATTCACAGCTTTCCTCAAAAATAAACATTTTCTAAAAAGAAATTTAGCAACTCTTGAATGTTCATACGGCGTTCTTCCTTAGCACGGCAGCATACCGCATGGGCATGGGGCATCTGTCCCCACTTGTCATTATCAGCAGGGTGGTGATTAAAATTATTTGGTAATTGATACGAGTTGTTCGCCTAAATCTTGGTAACAAATGTTGGTAACCACCTCAAGTTCAGTGCAAATTATATGGAGGAGAAATATCCTCCAAATAACCCCAGTGCTAAAAGAAGTGTGATAATTGCAGGACGATAGGACAAGCAGGGCTGTGGGAGACTGTGATATACCCGGGGATGCGGGAAGGGATCGTCGGAACGCTGCTTGCGTCGCAAGATCAGATGGATCAGCGGAAAAACTGTTTCGAACTTTTCGGAGCTGACTTTATGCTCGCTAACGATTTCTTCCCTTGGCTCATCGAAATCAACTCAAGTCCTTGCATGGCCGCCAGCACCAGCGTCACAGCGCGGATGTGCGCGCAGGTCTTAGAGGATGTCGTCAAAGGTTAGATTTAATCATTACATGTATTACGTTTAAACAATATGATGCTTAATGTAGCAATTGCAACATTGGAGGAACTCATATTGCATGACCGATATCTTGCAGGGATTTCAAATAATTGCTCAAAATTTCACACATTTCAGCCGTTCGACACAGTCGAATTACATCTTAGTCGGGGAAAGCCTGCTAGTGTATTCAACTCAATCTCTTCAATCACAATCTTTTTTTAGGGAAAACGTAGAAAATCGATAAAAGTCAGTAGATATAGTCTGCAGAGTTAAGAACATGATTAATGTATTTTATTGAGTATGAAAGATATGTTGTGTTCTTTCAAAACGAAAAATAATAAAGGGACGAAGGAAAAGTCGAAAATAAGGGCGAATATATTACTACTGAAAAATTGAACAACACAAACTTTATTGCTTTGAGAAAAAGTGGAATTATTTGTTGAAAAGAAAGAAAAAAAAGAAAAAAAAAAATTCCCTCCGCAAACAAGCAAGCATTTTCAGCCGGTAATCCAGGATAGAGCGAAAGGTCGAATAAAATACATGTAGATTGCGCGAAAAAGGCACAAGGATCACGCGAATAGAAACCTTAACATCTAATACAGGAATGCGCCAATTCAAAATAAAGTTAATTTAAGGTAGAAGTTTGGCAAAACAGGAAACAGTTGGAAAATTAACGCATTTTTTTATTAACGCTAGTGTAGGTTAGTTTGTTAACAAGTCATCGATATCCAACCTTCTGGTAATAAATGAAGAAAAAAGATCGAATAATGGTCGTGGGTATAAAGAATTTTCCTGACTTTTCTCGGAACAAAATATTTAAGCGGGAGAAACGAGGCAACGTTGGAATGTTCATACGGCGTCGAAACGCAACATGGGCCTTTTAAGCTTTATTATTTGATGTCGTAATAATTCTGAGGCGAGTTCGAATAATCGCGCCAAACACAGCGCGGCCGGCGTTACACGTATATTAGCGCCTGCAGGACTGCATGAATACTTCTCGCATTGCGCCAAACGTAGTGCAGTCACCAGTCAGGCAGTCTGGCAGTTGGCGCGCGCGGCATGCACGCATATTAGCGCCTAAAAGACTGTAGGAATGCTGTAAGACTGCGTGTCACCATTCTTGACTTTCTGCTCCAATTTTTACCATAATTAAAGGGGAAATATGTATCCTCATTCCAACGATTCTGAAACTCGGATGAAATGTGATATTTTTTTTTGTGGCCACATTAAAAGAAAATGGAACAAACCTAAATATCGCGTCGACATTTTCGACTCTTGTATTTTATATCATTAAGGTAAATTCATGGAAACGTTTCAGAAAAAACTGTGTGTAGCTTTTTAAAACCATTTATTAAAAATAAAACATAAAAGTGATGCATTACGTTGCAATTCGAGATAACGCTTTCTTTCGGGTGCATCCGTTGGGTTTGAAATCCATCCATCTCTTAAAAAACTTGATGACTTGAACATGGCTGTTATACAATTGCAAGCAGCCACAGACCCCTAGTTCACTTTTTAAATGTCTATGAAAGCTCTCTGTGCCATTCGTGCTGTGAAGGGTGTTCATCGAAAAGAGACATGCCCGTAAATAAGGAGGGAATGAACAGTCTTCCGCGATGTAGTTATCTACCACAAATTATCAAGGTTGCCTGATTAACGCGTCCTCGTTGAATATTGAATATTTGCGCAAACATGTGAGTTTTTGGCACCGGAAAAATTTTCGCAATCCCATGCATCTCCTAAAAGGTAAAAAAGGGGGCATTTGCGCAATCCTACAGGAAAGCTTAAGTCATCCTTGGCTTGACCTCCCCCCCCCCCCCTTAATTCTCCGTCATTCACCATCATCCACCACTAGACCCTCCCCCC